AGTGTTCACGGCAGCAGAGATGAAAAACAACTCAAATGTCCAAAGAGCCAAATGGAATTAATAGTACATTTGTAAACAAATGTTTACAAATGAGTTGTAAAGCTATAAAATGAATAACACATGAAAATAGATAGTTGAAAAAATGTAGTTTTGAGTGAAGGAAAGAAGTCACAAAAAGATTACACATAGATTGACTCAATGTATAGCAAGTTCAAATCCAGGAGATGCTAAATAATATATTTTTAGAGATACATGCCTATGTAGCAAAACCATAAAGGAAAGTAAAGGAATACTTACACAATCCAGGGCAGCAGATATCTCTGGAAGGGAGCTTTGGGGCTGTGAGTGGAAGGAACCTATATGGACGATGAAGACACAGGGAATGTTCTATTTCTGAAGCCTGGTAGTAGGTGCATGAAAATCGGTATTATTTTTATTATTATTTGATATGTACTTTTATACCTCATACCTGCAAAAGTATGTATTTCCCTTTTCTTTGGAAAGAATGGCATTACTGTGGTGGTAGAGTTATATATATATATTTCTGTTAATTGAGAAAGTAGGATTGAACAATATAAAAATAAGTTTTTTACAAGTTTTATCTATTTCAGTGACTTCCAGACATAATTAGAGCATAATGATGCAGATTCACGGATTTGAACAGACTCTGTCTTATAACAGCTGAGGGTACTGAGTGACAAGGAGTCGTATATCTAGATTATCAATTAGGTGGATGGTGTCTTTCCTTTCTTTTATATTATTATTATTTTTTTAATGCTCTCAAGGATTTTAATAGGAGCCTTCAACTAATGTATATTTGAGAACCAATTCTCCAAACTTTCAATGGTTTTCAATAATGGTTGCAAATTACCTGACTTATTTGAGAAACTGTTAAATAATATAATGCCTGTGTCTCATTCAAGACCAGGGTTTCTGTGTTGGCATGGGAGGAGTCCCTGGCCCCTACCCAGTAGATGGCCTAGCACCTTTCTGTCTCAAACAAAACCGTCCTCAGAAGTTGCCAAAGGCGTCCTGGGAGACAAAATCCTCTGCTCTTGCTCTCCCTGGTGGTAGTGATTTGAAAACAGCTCAGGTATTCAAGCTCATTTCGACGGGCAAACTTTTCTTCATTCATGTCCATTGCATCCATCCATGGCCTCATAATCCCTGGTCACTATGATTAATATGTATATCGTGTCTTTCCTTTTAGCCACTGTTGTGCACAACAAAAGGAGCATGAGCTTTAGTGCTGAAATGAATATATCCTCAGCTTTTGCTATATTTGAGGTGCTTATGAGAAAGTCACCTATCTGTGCCTTGGAAGCAGTTTAATACCTTACTTTAGGGTAAGGTGGAATGATATGGCCTAGAAATGTTAATTTGGATAATAGACACCTAAAGTGCATGCCATACATATGCAAATTGCCTACACAGAAAGAATCAGGGTGCCAGTAGAAATGAGGAAGAATTAGGAAGTGCTTTGTGAGACTATTTTTTATGGGAATTATTTTACAGTTTATAGAATTTGAACATGGCTAAAATTATTCTAAGACTTTGAAATAATTTATTTTTTGTCAGTAATCTTCACAAGTTTCTTTTCAACTTTTTGTACCAATCTTCCCTGTGACTATTATCTCTTCTTAATAAACCCATCTTGGCTGACAGTTTTGAAGTTTAGGAAATCATTCTTAAAATTTTACATTATTCTTTCAGAATGATCCCCTACCACTGATAGCTCCCAGACTGTAGCATAATTTTTTTAGAGTAACTGTAAAATTCATGTTCTTATATATAGATTTTTAAATCCTTCAGAAAGAATGAAAAGAAAGAAGAATTACCAAGAAAAAATTCAAGTCAGGAATTTGTCTTACTTGTGCGATGCCTGTATGTAGTTTTTCTTTTAATTTAAATTCAGTTAGCCAACATATAGTAGTAGATCATTAGTTTCAGAGGTAGAGGTCAGTTATTCATCAGTTGTGTGTAACACCCAGTGCTCATCACATCACATGCCCTCCTTGATGCCCATCACCCAGTTACCCCATCTCCTTGTCCACTTCCCCTCCACTGACTCACAGTTTCTTTTCCATAGTTAGGAAATCTCCCATGGTCTGTCTCCCTCTCTGATTTCTTCCTATTCAGTTTTCCCTCCCTTTCCCTATGATTCTCTGCACTGCTTCTTATATTCCACATATGAGTGAAACCGTACTATAATTTTCTTTCTCTGATTGACTTATTTCACTCAGTATAACGTTGATGTAAATGGTAAGATTTCGTTCTTTCTGATGGCTGAGTAGTATTCCATTGTACATATACACCACCTCTCCTTTAACCCACTCATCCGTCGATGGACGTCTGGGCTCTTTCCAAAGTTTGGCTGTTGTGGACATTGCTGCTATACACACTGCAGTACAGGTGCCCCTTCGGATCACCACATTTGTATCTTGAGAGTAAATACCTATTAGTGCAATTGCTGGGTTGTAGGATAGCTCTATTTTTAACTCCTTGAGGAGCCTCCATACTGTATATTGTTTTTTAAATAACAAACTCATGGTTCTGTAATCAAAATGCCCTACCAACATTCAAATCAGAGTGTGCCTGTGTAAAAGAAGGAGTTATAACTGAGTTTCTTTTTTTTTTTTTTCTGGTTCAATTAAGATCTGTTGTCAACCTATTTGATATTAACTGGAAAATTGAAGGACCCAAGAAAAATGAATATCCTTTTAAGTGCTTCCTGAAAAAAACTTTTTTCTTAATTTATTGAAGTTTTAAACATATGTTTTTTTCCTTTTGAAAATTAGTTTTCAAAGCAGTTAACCTTTGTTTACAGACCTTACACTCCTGTAAGTATTGAAGAACTAAAAGGTTATGTTTCTAATAGAAGTAATCTGTCATCTTATTTCTTTTTTACATGCATCACCATCATGGGTTAAGATACAGAAATCAGCTCTGATGCTTTCTTTTTACAATATGGAAGCCTTTTGAATTCAGCTGGACGAACATAATATATTTGTGGACCCTCATTTGTATACAAAACACTGTGCTAAACAATTTTGGAAATACACAGATGAAGACAGACCAAAGAGACATACGTGAAACATAACATGTGTACATTGTTATAACTTCCTCCAAGGTTAAGTTTAGGATTAAGCATGTTGGTAGTTTTTAAAAAAAAAAAAAAAAAAGCAGGAGGCTGGGAGTATTTCACTTATCTGCAGAGAAAATTCCAACTACCCTCAACCTTTTAAAACACAATCTCAAAAGTGATTGAAAAAACATTTGCCACTAAACACTTTGTCAGGAATTTTACATACACCACCTTAAGAGACAATAAAACCTTTTAGATATTGGTTTGAGAACTGTGTGGGAAATACAGTAAGAAATTGGAAATGGGGCACCGGGGTGGCTCAGTGGTTCAGCAAGTGCCTTCAGCCCAGGGCGTGATCATGGGGTGCTGGGATCGAGTCCCGCATCGGGCTCCCTGCAGGGAGCCTGCTTCTCCCTCTGCCTGTGTCTCTGCCTCTCTCTCTGTGTGTCTCTCATGAATAAATAAAATCTTAAAAAAAAAAAGAAAAAAAGGAATTGAAAGTAAGAATAAACCCTGAAACACAGACACCACCAAGATGTGGCAGCTGACAAAGGAAAACACATGAAGGACAAATATCCCTTCCCTCCTTATTTGTTTAATTTAATGATGCTCCTAACCATGAATTAGTTATTTTTTAAAAAAAGTTAAAATCTATGTAGTATTTCTTATTCCAAGAGTATATCAGTGTTCAATTTTAGAGCCAAAGTCCTTTATTTTTCAGTTTTGGTGAGATTAAATTCTTGAGTAATCAAGAAAACTAACCGTGTAGAGTACCTTATAAGGATAATGCAGCATGACCTAGTGTTGTCTTGTATATAAATTTCATATATTTCCTCCAAATATGTGGAAGAGACTTTGTGAATAGCAAGTAAGAGCTTTGTGTATTTTTCCTTTAATTCTCATAAAATCTCTGCAGATTTTATTCTCCCCATTTTCAGCGGAAGAAATCGAGGCACAGTTTAAGAAACTTGTTCAAGGTCCTTCAACTAGTGTAAGGACAGAATTTATTGACCGTGGCAGTTGTTAGCCAGTTTAATAATCCTTTGACTATTTGGTCAGTCTTCAATATGGTCATGATTAATTTTTTTTCTTTTTTTTTTTTTTTTTTTAGTTTAAAAAGCGAAATCCACTCGAATTTGCTTGAGCAAGCTAGGGACATGATTATAAAGAAGCAAGAATATCTCTTGGAGCCCACAGACAAGCTGTGAAGTTGAGACCAAGGGGCCAAGTGTCTCTGCTTCCTTTTGTGCACCTGCTTTGTCACTGTTTTTACTTTGCTGACTGGCTTTCCCCGTGGCGGGTGGGGTCACTCTAGGACCAGTTTTCTAGACTTGAGTTCTTAGTTCTTCCGTAACTGGTAGAGTAACATCATGTCACTTAACCTTTTTGTGCTTATTTTTTTTCTCTAATGTGGTGACAATAGTTACTGCCTGTAAACTATTTACAACAGTTCCTGGCAACATTTTAAACATGTAATGCACCTTGGCTATTATTTTATCATTGTGGCCAGTTGGTAACATACATTTTATGTACCAAATAGATTAATTTTAAGTTGAGCAATATCCCCTTACTCTTGTGACCTTCAGTGCTTCAAAAATGGTATTTAGAAAATGAAGTGATCTTGCTCTTACTTAAGAGTTAAATGATCTTGCAGCCTATTCAAAATTTTGATAACAAAAGGGGGGTGGAAGTGAAGGTTTTATGTAGTCTACTTATTTGTCGTAGTAAGGAAGATTGATTTCCTAATAAACTTGAAAAAGACTCTCATTCTTCCTGGTGAGTAAAATGTTTATATAGAAAAACTGTAATAAAGCATATTTGCATAATTATTGAAAATTGTGCACTGTTTATGAAGTTAAATTATACAGATGAGATCATTTAATTTTCTGTTGATTAATTACACATTTATTTTCAGGTACATGACAGATGGAGGGCTCAACCTGTATACTAGAAGTCTGAACCGAATACCAGACACAGCCACTTCCCGGGATGTCATCCAGAGAGGAGTTCATGATGTGACAGTGGATGCAGACAGGTAATGCCACCAGCATGTACGATGGTGAGAACCACAGAAACCAGGTGCATAAGTGAGACCCTAGGAGTTTTATAACATAAATCAAAAGACTTTTTATTTCAATATAATAATTATTTTGAAATATTTTAAATATTTTAAATATTTTTAAATATTTTAAAATATTTAAATATTTTAAATACTAAGGTGGTTTTTCTTACAAGACTTGCTGAGCCCTATATAATACTGCATTGGTGAGAATATTTAACAACTTTCAGTTACATGGCAGCAAATTTTAATATCTGTAAAAGCAAAATGATAAACATAGACTATGTTCTTTCCTTGAAAAGAACTCTGGCTGATAAGTTCCTTTTGGCTTGGATAGTCTCAGATTTACCTGGAAGCTAACGATACAAAGATTGAAACATAATGTGAATTATCAGGTACAATAAACTTGATGCTTTTCTTGAGGGGTTTGTTGAAAGCCTACAACTCTCGCTTTAGGCTAATTTCTGTTTTGTATGTAATTGTTTCAGATTGTTTAAAGGTGTATGTGTGTGCATGCTTGCGCACTTCATATGCTAGTTATTATTTTGCTGGAAGTTGTTTTGTCAGTTTGATCAGAATCACTGCTGTTAGAGAATATTGTTCTTGTAAAATAATATTGTAAGACATACTTCTGACCTGATTTTGCCCTCTCTTCATTCAGAATTTTGACTTTATTCATCAAGAAGGAATTGCCATTTCAAACCTATGCTATATCAGTACCAAGAGTGATTCTTTACTAAAGCCAGCTTTGAGGAAGAGGGCAGAAGTTGTGACTTAATGTATCCACGTTCTGAAATAGGAACTGTGTACAATTCATTGTGCATCTTAACATAGCCAAACCAAAGGCTTGAATCCTGATATTAACCATCCGTTTCTCCTCAGTCAGATGCTGTAGATATATTTTTGGAAGGGACTCCTAGATACTCTTTAAATAGATAATCTGTTTTGATGTCTACCTTCACATCCATTTTCAGAAACACAGGAGGGAGGGGTGTGGGGAGGAGGAGGTATCAGGTGATGGGCATTAAGGAGGGCAGGTGATGTAAATGAGCACTGAGTATTATATACAACTGACGAATCACTGAACTCTGTCTTTGAAACTAATAATGCATTATATATTAATTAATCGAATTTAAATTAAAAAACAAAATACCACCAATTTTTAAATATTTGGAGCCTTCTCCAGGATAAGTAGGCTGTTTCTCAGCTTTCCTTGTCATGTGTTGAAGAGGCCACTCTCTCAGATCTAGGGTCAGGGTGAGTGTGAGGGTAAGGGCATATGCCTGGTATCCTGCCATTCAGAGACCTCTCCGAAGGGTTAGGGTTAGGGTTAGGGCTCAGGTTAGGAGTTTGGGTATGTGCCTGATGTCCTGTAGTTCAGAGACCTCTCCAGAGAATCAAACCCCAGAACTACTGGGGTGAGAACAGACATGGCAGCCGTCAACTGAACTTAGACAAGTAGGGCATTTGGGACTCTAAATACTCTTTAAATAAGGCTGTTGATATTTTAACTCCTGTTGGCCAGAGGACAGTTTCCACTGGGAGACTAGGATAGACGTATCCCAGTCCATAGACCAGGTGTGTGTGAGAGAAGCATGTAGTTACAAAAGGATTATGAAAAATGTTGCCGCCCCACCACCGACCTGAGCTCCTCAACTATTCTCCCTTCCTGACTCCTTCAGCCACCCTGGACTTGTCTCTGCTCTTGGATTGATGCTTCCTCTGCCTAGAATGCCCTTTCTACATTCACTGCATTATTGCCTCTGTCGCATTTCAATTTCAGCAGAATGTTTCCTTCTCAGAGAAATGATTCCAGAGAGGGTAACATACATCTGATGGGCACTTTTCTTTTCTTTTCTTTTCTTTTCTTTCTTTTCTTTTCTTTCTTTTCTTTTCTTTTCTTTTCTTTTTAATAAATTTATTTTTTATTGGTGTTCAATTTACCAACATACAGAATAACACCCAGTGCTCATCCCGTCAAGTGCCCCCCTCAGTGCCCGTCACCCATTCACCCCCACCCCCCGCCCTCCTCCCCTTCCACCACCCCTAGTTCGTTTTCTAGAGTTAGGAGCAGTCACTTTCTTACCCATCACCTTATATTATTCTCATCATTGTTAAGTATAGCATACTTGCTTATTTCTTTACCCGCTTATCTTATATCTCCTCCATTACAATGTCAGGCTACGAGTGCAGAATTTTTGTCACTTCAGTGTATTTTGAGCCTTTAACAAATGCTTATGGGGTGAAAGAACAAAGGAATGAATACAAACTACTACTGAATATCTGGGTATAGCTACCGATAGAGTCCAACAGGGTCGAGAGGCAAATGGGGCCAGAGCCAACATACTGCAAGGATATTACGTAAGAGAGGGAAGGGGTTATGTGGAAAAACAGGAAGCAGTGATTCGAGGGGATGAAATCCACAGTGTGGACTACACTTTGAAACTAAGGACCTACACATTCTTAGCTGAAAATGGAAAGTATTAAAGGAGGGGGAAAGTCTGTTGGTTTTTGGGAACTGAGGCTGTGGTAGCAGAACCAAGGAATCAGTATTTTAGAGATAGTTGGGATACCCAGCTCTCCTTGCTCCTCTAAAGTTCCAGCCTGGTGCGTGGCTGAGGAACCACAGACCAACGGGAAAACCCAGATGTGTGTCTAATAAATTGGGACCTGTGAACGCAAGGATCTTAAAGTGTGGTCACTAAATCAGCAGTGGTAGCAGCATCACTTGGGAACTTGATAGAAATGCAGATTAGTTCTAAGACTTACTGAAGGGGAAACTTTGGGCTGTGTCCAGCAATCTGAGCTTGAACAGGCGCTCCAGGTGATTCTGGTGGATACTAAAGCTGGCAAGTCACTACCTTAAAATTAACAACTATATGCCAAGTTGATGAAAACATGAACACTTAGCATAAACATTTAAACATTAAAAAATGACATTTTGAAGTTTTTATTCACTTTTCTAGCTGTGCTCTGTCAAAGGAAAGAGTGTCAAAATCACAGTGTCACTGATCTTTAGATTAGGTCAAATAATGACATGTTGTCCCTGAAAGATATTGTCTCCATTCATTAGATTCAGCTTCTGAAAATTGCATTTTGAAAGAATTATATAAGGAAAACAAAACCCACTTTAATCACTTGTATACATTATTTTTTATAATAAATTTATTTTTTATTGTTGTAACTTGTATATATTAAACACCAATAAGGTCATAGGGAAAATCCTGCTATCATCAGAGATAGGAGTTTGTCTTTTATTATAGTTAAATCTGAAGCTCTTTCAAAATCCTATATTCAAGAAGTGATTAGGGATGTACGTAATTTAAAAATACATAGTATTAAATATTCTAGTTGTATAAGTCCTGCTGTTAATTTAAAAATATCCTTGTACAGGGTGTTGTTTCATAAAGCTTTCTTAATTCTGATATCCATTCCAAAGAGGATAAGCAAGAATAGCTATAAGGTAATACCTCTTTGCTTAGTTTTACTCAAAAAAGATACTAAAAAGTTCCATACTTCAAAATAAAACTGTTTAACTTGATTTAATCCAGTGCTCCCTAAAAGCTTTTTTATCACTGATTCCCCCACATTTTTCTATGTAATAATTTGTTCCTGTGATATTTTAAGAAATGCTGATCTTTGCCTAATGCCTTCATTTAGTGGATATAATAGTACAAGGACTTGGGTCTTTTACCTCCTGTACTTAACAGTTTCCCAGCGACTTTAGTCAATGTTCTTTTTAACAGTATGAAAAATATTAGTGCTTGGTTCATTTTAGTAAATTGGTAAATGTAAGGCTTGTAATAGTTCACTGACAAAAAGCTTAAGAGCAAAAAAAAAAAACAGCAGTGTTTTATTAATTTTTCATATTTTGTAAACATTTTTTCTATAAGCTGTGATCAGTGAAAATACATTACATAAAGCAAAGTAGCCAGCTGAGTAGGATAGCAATGGGTTTGAATTGCTTGTGTTATTTTAGTGCAGATTATAAGGTTCCCCTTTGATCAAAGTCTAGTTAAAATGGGATGGGCAATAGAGAACAGCTGAAATCTTCCCAGCAGATTGAAATGGCCCCAAAGAAAAGAGAAGGGCTTTCAGCAGACAACTGTAGTGTATCGTAAGTGTTTTATTACTCAAAGATATTGCAGTTCCTTCATTTTCCATATCAATCCAACACCAGCCCCATTTCCTTCAAAAGCTGACCAAAAAAAAAAAAAAAAAAAAAAAGCTTATAAAATGGGACTAATCCTTGTAGACATGTTAGAGATGCTCTGGGAGCCTCACAAATAAGTTCATAATAGACAGTTAAAATGTGGGAGCTTTATCCATTTGGCTCTGGTTGTAATGAGGTCAATCCTAACTCATATATACTTATACAGTTGGGTTACACTATATTTAAAAGGTAATATGTGGGGGAAGGTGGGAGACAGTTGTTTTGGTTTTTATTAACTCTTGTCCTGACGCTAACTTCCCTGCTAGTATTAACAAATATGAAAAAATATTTGATGAATAAATAATTACCTCCTAAGTGCATGCATGACAGCATAGTAGCACCTTGAAAAAAACAAAACAAAAGAATAAAGATGAAAGACCCTGAATTTAAAGGTCAGATAGAATAATATAAGCAAAAAATAAAATGATAATAAAATTAAGTCATAATAGATGTATGTGCAAAGTATCTTAGAAGCAGCCCAAAGGGAAGTGGTTATTCCTACCTGTGAGTATAAGGAAAGACTTCAGAAAGCAGTATGACTTAAATGGACCCATAAAGCAAGCATAGTACTTTTTGACATGTGGCCTGGGAGAAATCTGAAAAAATGTGGGAGTGGAGAGCATAGAAGCATGGAAGAGTTTAGTTTAAGGGGGTGTTACAGAAAACCAGAAATGGGCAGTGATCAAAGTAAGGAAAACAGATTTTGTAAGGAGCTGTTGCAGTAGGGAGAAGAGACCTTAGTATACAGCTGGGCTCAGTTCTC